GCTAGCACCCTAATGCAGTCTGCAATCTTTAGCATTGTTACAAACATAAGGGAAATTTAGCATCAGCAAACCTGGATGTAGTCATCCTCCGACAAACAACAATGGCCGCTGCTAGCAACTGCTAGCCGCTACTAACACTGCTGAAGTAATATTTAAAATCTAAATTCAAAATGTGTTTATGAAATAACAATATGGATGGTACTAGTGGTCAAGCAGTTTGAAGTGCAGCTTGGACAACCACCATAACTGCAAGTTTAATGTGTTGTAGGGACGCTTTAGCTGTACTGAAGCGATAACTATTGTGTCAGGANTTATAATACTTGTAGTGAATTCGTCTCACTAGCACTTTAGTTCATTTTGTAGATGATGTTTTTCTGTGGGGACAACTCTCATGTTGCCACTTTGTGCCGTGCTGCTGTTCCACCGCTGCTCCTGCAGGGGGCGCTGCTGTGCAGCAGACGCCGCGGAGCAACAGGGCGCTTTCATTCAACCCGATCTGCTGCCTTTTTCCTCAACTTTTTGCTCTGACTGCTGCTGCTGTTATCTGGGCAAGGAGAAAGGAAGTAGCGACGGGCTAGCTGGTTAGCCAGTCAGAAACAACACAGGTCTGTAACAGACAAGACCTTTGACACATTAGTTTTGTTCTTAGAGGCGACTACCAGCCGTGCCGTTCACATAAGGATGCGATTTATTTTTATTTCGTTTTTCTCGCGGTGCGTATGTTTCGGTTTTTCCCCCACACCGGTTTCAAACCCTTCAAAATTAGGAGACTGAGCTTTGTCTGCCTGGGAATCCGCGGTTGCTGCTAGCTCCTTCGTTTTTGTCACGAGGGGATTTTTTTCATTTTTCATTTTTGTTTTGTTTTGTTGTTTCTGTCAAAAAAAGGAGAAAACAAAGAAACAAGGTGAAACGTGGTTCTGAATTTTGAATTTTTCACCAGTCGTGRCGTGTCGCCGAGGATTACAGCAGAACAATGAGACTGACTGCTGTGGAAGGTAGGTTACACTTAACAGAGCTTCTGCCTTAAACCTCACGAAGCTTGTAAAAAAAATGTTTTACCGTTTAAATGATATATATAATACAGTACCAGACACAGAGTTAAAACAGGAAGATATGAGGTAACCTCAGGCTGTCTGAATTTAACGAATTCGGACCAAACAGCAATTGTTTTGATTAGGATGAGTGGTTTTATTACCATGTTTGGCCCATGATTCCACCTTAGCAGTGTATTTCCAGCCTGTGTGAATGAGCTTCCGTTTTTATTATTTATTTATTTATTTTTAACAGCTGAATATTCCCAGCCGGCCCGGGGACACACATTCTACCCAAACACAGTGACAGGGGCCAGTTGTTTTTGTGTTTGAGGAAGCAGTAATATAGATCAATGAGCAGGACTCCCATTGACTTGTGTGCTTTCTGACAGAGATCCAGCCCCAGAGCTGAGGCAACAAAATGACCACTTAATCACGTTTTATGTTCTGTATGGGACACATTTTATAGCTGAATAACAGCAGCTCTGTAGAGAGCTAAGGTCAAGTTTTTTTTTAGTGTCAAGTGGGGTGTCATTTGTGTAGTTAATAATTCAGTTGTGTGATGTGTCACTTTATTCGCTCWCTTTTAGGTATAACATTATTAAGCCATAATAACAACAAACCCCAGCTTATGAATATCATTAAGTGTAGGTTTCCAGTTTTAAAATATCATCAGTGGCCTGACTGACGCACACTTACCAATCAAGCATTAGCACATTGTGTGTCAAACTCAAGGCCTGTGGGTAAAATCTGGCCCTTGTTAACATTTTATCTGGTCCCAAAGGTGATACTAGGGCTCATGATTTGGCTTTTTACACTGTGTGATTTATTGTTTCTSTTTTTGTCACTGTATTTAMTGCATTCTTCTCARGACAGCAGCTTTAAAACCAAGAAAATGAACTTGGTAATCTTTGACTGTGGTGTGGAAAGAGCAACAAAGAATTAACTTTAGTTATCTTTTTCTGTGTTCTCTTCCTTTTTTAAGTCTGATTTTTTACTGGGCATCTTCTTTTTTTTCATGATTTGCTGGATTTTGATGAAATGTATCTCTAAGAAATGATAAATGAAAAAGTTGTTAGTAGTGTGTAAGGTATTAAATAAATACTAATGTGTCTTTCTAAACTGAATCTTTTTCTTTATCGTTTTGGTTATGTATTTTATAAATGCTACATAAAACATAATTTGGGAAAAAGATCATTTGTATTCATAAGAATAACTTTTTATATAACATTTTAATAAGTATTGACAGAAACCGGCCCTTAGCTTGGACCAAGTTTTGTATTTTGTCCCCCTGGTGTAACTGAGTTTGACACCCCTGCATTAGCATATTCTTTTGTTTTGGTTGAACTCATACCTACTTAAGATGCTCCAAAAACTCTCAGGCAGCCTACGGAGTGGCTCACTGCCATCCATTGAAAGAAAAGGGCCATATGGCCCCCTGCTAATGGTTTGTGCTCCACAAGCCCCTCTACAGACCTGACAGTGCTCCGGGATAAGAAGGGGGAGGGGAAGGAATACCAGTTGCCATTCAGCCCAGCTTTGAGTTTAACTGTCCACACATCCGGACAGACTAAATGTGTAAAACTGTTGGAACAAAGATAAGTAGCCCATTTGTAGCTGTGTTTGTGACTAGGTATGGGCTGCATATTTTACAGGTGTACAGAGCCATTTTGTTTTATATGTGGGCGTTATTTCTTTATTGTAGTGCTTCAAAGTGGCTTTGAACCACATTAAAATGGAGATTTCTTGTTTCCTAATGTGACTCTAATCAAATGAACTTCTCCTGTAATATCAACCCACGTCTGCATTAGTTTATAAAACGTCAGGGTCACAGGTACAAAGTGATGGGCAAAAGAGGATCTCTTTATTGACAGTGAAGTTTCTTTTGAGCTGTTTGTTTTTAGTTTTATTTTTATTTTTTACAACTAAAGAGGGTTCTGTTTCAGTGAAAGAAACTGTCTGGAGGTTGGAGTAGATCTGTTAACAGCTCTGTCTGTGTATCTTATCTGAAATGTTTCAGGGTCAGTGTGTTCTGGTTGTTTTAGCATTACTGAGTAACTGTCGTTTCTCACGCCTCTTTTCTTTTTTCATACAAACTAGAGAAAACGTGTAGAAATTGGTGCTTTGATAAACTTGCCCATCTTTCAGCTTGTGACTAAAAAAAAACGTGAGGCTAGTTGACGTTCTCTTGTAGGAAAACTAAACAAAATAATGTAATTTAAATTAATTCATAATTTAGTACCRTGTTCTCGTGTGTCCATTTCTAAAGCTATTCTTGGATTTCTGCGTTCCCCTTTTTTTCTGTATTGCGTCAGGATTGGACAGTTTTAGGTCTCGGGCAGAATGAGGACAGGAACGGGCTGAGCTGTGGCAGCTCTGTGATTTCTAATGAGTCCCTTGGCTGCAGCTGGTGCACCTGCGTATGAAGCTACCTGTGGAATGACGCAGACATCCGCAGTCCCGTTGTCCAGCTTGATCAGTCGCATTAGGATATACAACACWTTTAGCTATRATCCCTCTTTTACTGACCTAATTCTCGAAGCGATGGACAGTTTTAGGTTGTTTCTACATAATGCAGGTGAGTGTCAGCAAATTTACGTGGACTGTGTGTTGACAAAACTGCTAATATTTTGGAGGCAGGTGTTGATTGATCTAAAAGGTTTTCAAATCTTGGCCTTTTGCTCCCAGTTTGATTTCAGCTTTACAAGGAAATGGAGCATCATTTACTCAGATAACTCGTGCACGAGTTAGATGACGTCTATTAATAACAACTGGTTGCCTTTAAATAATAAAAGTTAGTTAAATCTTTTAGAAAATCCCCACCTACATGAGGTACACGAAAGGCTCGTTGCGAAGGGTTTGGCAAGAACAGTCGGGCTTGTCGAGGCTTGTGTTCCTATTTACGTGTGTACACATCAGGAAAATGTCTCGACTGTTCTTTTAAATGCGCCTCCTGTAGATATTTAGGACTGGCTGAGCTAGTCCTGCCTCTTCCTGAAAAAGCTTTTGAAATTTGGACCCAGCATTAAAACTCTGCCACTCAGCTTCATCCCCATATCTCCTCTGGAGACATTACAGGTCATTTAAGAGTGTTATTGACAAATTTAGAGTGTTCCCTTTATTATTGCCTTTTAACTTTGTATAAAAAGTTTGATATGGACTTTATAAATGGGAATGAGTGGAAAGAAGGAGGTCAGAAAGAAGAAATAGGACACCGGTATGTGTGTACTTTTGTGTTTAACTATGTCTACTGTTACGAAATTCGCTCCTTACAACTTAAGTTTTCCACAGTCGTGCAAAAACTCATGAAAGACACATTAAACCTATTTATGGCAGCTTGTTTACAGTGAATTTWTGTGGCATTTAAGTTAATATCTACGTTTTATCTTCACTTTTTTGGCTGTTAACCCTCAGCTTTGGTTTTTATTTCAGGGCTTTCTGCTCTTCGGCTGTTCGTTCTGAAGGAAGAYAGAGTTTGTGTTTGTCAGAAAAGAGCAGTGAACCCATTATGGTACCAGACCAAAAAAAAAAGTACAATCGTGACAACGCATAAAAGCTGTTCCATAATAGATTGTGACGCATGATTTGGATTTCTGATTATGATCCCTTCGGGTCAAAAAACACACATGGTMTTCTGCTGAACAAAGAAAGAAAACCTTCCTCCCTTCGCCTGGTGGAAGGGACTGATTCAAACCAACTAGCTGACTCTTTGTCCTCACTGCAGTCTCTGATCCTGTCCCTTGACTCTGGATCCATAAAGAGGGCACGCCCTCGGGCTGTGTTTGCTGTTGCTCTGCACCATAGTGAAAAATTTAATCACCAGGCCAATAGCTAATGAGCTGGAGCTACATCCTCTTTACTGAGTCTGTTGTCTACCCATCTTCACTTAAACCTCAGCCTCTTTCTGCTCGTCTGATAATCTGCAGCTTCAATTAACTGAAATTAATGTTTCAGAGAATTTAACCATTATTGAAAGCGTGAGCTTCGTGAAAAACACGAATTCCTCCGTTARGATTATAGATCAGTTGTGCTCCATGCGTGACAGCCTTCTAATGCTGCGTTCACACCGAACGCGATTTCAGCTTCAAAATCGCAGCCAACGCTGAAGTTGGTCGCTCGTGCACTTTGAGGTCAGACGCAGGTCAGCTCTTGAAGCGCTGCACGGCAAGAGCCTCCCCGCCCCTCCCTCCTCTGTCGGGCTCTGTTTAATGTCGGACGAGGAAGTGGCTTTGCTTTATTTACAGAGAGCAAAGCATGTCACGTTCATCAGATAATTAATTCATAATTAATTCACCAGATAATTCAGAGTAGAGGCTCACAACTCGCTTTCAGGACTATTTTTGTCCCGAGTCCAGTCTGATGAGTCGCTGCCACGCATTGGTGCGGATATCTCTGTCAGGACAACGACTGCAGGCACTCGATTTCAGCTAAAGAGCTCCTCTCCATCTGTTTCAGGTTAGTGGACATCATTCAGTAAACTGTCCAGTCGGGAAATATGTCGCTACGTCACACAGTGGAGTCTCTCTGATTGGTTGATGAGGCGCATGGAGCTGCAAAAGTTCAGATTTTCTAACTTCAGCGATCTGCGCCTCAGCGTGTCGAACGCTCAAATCGTTCAAATCGCGCTGCTCTAATCGCGCTTGAGGCGCCGCAGCACTTCCCGARGTTGCTTGAAGCGCGTCCACCATAGACTTTGCATGTAAACCTGAGGCTCCTGATGCTGAAATCGCGTTTGGTGTGAACGCACCATAATAAGCAGGGAACACATTTCAATAACTTCCTTCTTCTGTGGCTTCTCTCATTAGATCATCTCTCAGTAGTTCTCCAAACATTTAAAGCTGCAAGTAAATTTGTGTTTTTTTGAACGTATTGCTAATTTTTTTAAATTTTTTGTCTAATTTAAAGGAGACAGACCATTCCTTACTCATTTCAAAATGACGTGAGATGAAGAGGAAACTTGGCCG